CCCTGAGCCGGTGAGATTTGAACAGCCGAACTGCAGAACTGCAGTCAGCTGAAGTAGCCTGCAGTGCTGCATTTAACCACTGCGCCACTCGGCTCTCTGTTTTAACCAAGAAGTTAATTAGAGTTCCTACGGATGCCCTGATTAAATCATGAGCCTTGACCCAAGCTTCAAAAGAAATCTAGCTATTTATTGGAAGCAACATGTCAGCACCCCAAGTGAAGCCAGCTCTGACCCCACGTAATTTACATCCCAACTATGACCCTGTTCCCCCCACTCCTCCCAGGGTGTGTCATAAATCACATTCTCCAACCAGAGCACTTTCGCCAGGCTGCAGTGATCACGCCCCTCCGGCTGTTTCAGGTAGCCCGGGAGACAGCCTTGAGAAAGGTATGCGTGGAATGTGCTTCTGGTTGTGGCTGCTGTGCTGCTCCATCAATTCCCCCCCCACCTCCTGCCCATGGCAACTCAAGAGCAGGCCAGGGATGCTTTACGACTTGGCATTCTCTTACCTTAAATTTATCCGGGACATCCTGCTGGTTCAGAGGAAAGAGCCGTACAAACTTGAAACTCTCGGCGACCACGTAGAAGGGTTTGTTTTGCGCTTTGGCGCAGACCGCCATTTGGTTGGTCCCAATCTGAAGACGACGTTAAGCAGGGGGAGAAAAGATGTACAATGGTTAGGACAGGCCCTAGGAAGCAGCAATGTGACTCGCTGGAATTTTCTGAACAGAAGTGGAAGAGGTGAGTTCTTAGGCACGAAAGCTGGCTGGGTGATTGTGGGCCAATCACCAGGAGGAGGTGAATTCTAGCCTCGCCTAAGGCATGAAAGCCAGCTGGGTGCTGTTGAGCCAATCAGCAAGAGACAGTGAATTCTAGTCCTGCTTTAGGCATGAAAAGTTGGCTGGGTGATTGTGCGTCCATCAACTAGCTTTGTGCTCACAGATTAAAAGCCTGTGCTAAGCCAGAATGCAAAAGGGAGAATTGGACACACAAACACGAATCATTTGGAAAGTCGCTGCACAATTGACAAACCCTCCTTACCTTGTTGATGATCCCGCCGTTTTCGACGACGCCTTCCGCGCCCACGATCACCAAATCAACCCTTTCCATGATGTACCTTTGAAGAGAGACAGAAAAAGGGGGCTCTTTGTCCATGTGCTGACCTCGGCTTCCCAAAAGCTAAAAAGCCGACTCCTCGTCCCGAAAAAAAAAAACCCTTTTGTTTACTTTAAAGGGAATTCCTCTCCAGCAAAGTCTTTCGAGAGATTTCACAACTACAGACCTTTATCGGGCTTGGAGAGCTGCCAGGCCGATATCTTCCAAACGCCACTCTGTAGCAGCAATTACTTGGCAAGAAATCAGGAACAGGTCTTCACCCGAATGAATTAAACTAGTTGTCTCCTGCAAACTCCCCTCCCCTTTTGCTCCTCTTTTATACCCTATGGGAGGGGCCATTCACCGTCCCCCTGTGTCTTTACTCCTGAGTTGGCCCTTGTTCCTTAGCTCTTCCCTTCTCCTGGCAGCTCACATGGGGAACAGGGTCCAGCTGTTCTTCTGCCCCACTGATGTCTGACTCCGAAGGCAGCTGATAACTGTCAGACGGCCCTGGACCCCTCTCTGCCCCCGACACAGAGCCCTCCTCAGAGCCTTCCCCAGACTCCAGGACTGGCCCAGGTTCCTCCCCAACCTCCTCACTGTTCGAATCTGTGCCA